AACATAGACTGTAATGCCCTGTGATGGGGTATATAGACCCTCTGTTGCAACAGCCACCAAGGGGTTAATGGACAGAGCTGCTACTTCCCCACCTGTGGCTTGTTATTTGACCAGCAACAATTAGGGCATCTTGCTCGGATCCCTGAGGAGGACTTTGCATTGGCTGCAAACTGGGAGGAAGTGGTGTAAGGAGCTAGAAATGCCAAGCACTGGAAGGAGCTGGGGCCTGGAGGTAGATGAAGGTAGGAAGCAGCCTGGCGAAGTAGCAGGAAGTTGACCGTAGCTGCTTGATACAGGGTCCCCGGGAGGAGGATGGGTGGGTCTGGGTTCCCTTACCTGCCTCCAAGGAAGGGAATGTAAAGCCCTCCTGATGCAAGGGGGTAGGGACAATTGAGCCCAGCATGGGGCTGAAGATGGGACATAAGGTTCTTGTTGGCCTCTATCACCCTGGGAGGGGTGGGACCATAGGCACCTGGCTGGAGGGCTGAGTGATGAGAAGGTGCAAACCACTGCAGGTTTGGAGTGGCTTCTGGGATGCCAGAGTCGCAGAGGCGGCTATACCATGCCTGGCTTTGAGGGGGTGCACTGATTGGTGGGTGACCCCTCTCTGTGTCCTCTGTATAGCCCAACCCTTAAGAGTAACTTAGGATTGTAAAAAATAAAGAGGGATAAAACTGGGCAGGACTTCCAGGGGTGCTGAGTACCCACAGCCCCCACTGACTTCTGGGCCCCTCTGAGGAGCAAGCCTGGCTGTGATTCTCCATCTCAAACAAGATTTATGGCCCGATAGCCCTTGGAGATAATGGGTTTATTTTGGAAAATTGCAATAACTCTATAGTGCACCCATCAGCCACGGTTTATTCATGTGATCTGTAAGTGCTGCAGGCATTTAGCAGCAAGCAGTAGAGTTAAAAAGCACACTGTCTCCTTCACCTAGAGGTGATTGTCAGCTGGGGTACTTGCAGGCAGTTAGACTAAGCAGAGGCAACAAAGTTAGCAGAGGTAGTTTTGTAGCTCACCTGATACCTAAAATCAGGGGCAATCCCTTGTGCACAAAGCACAGGTGCACCCCTGTCACCTAGGAAGAGAGGCTTTGTTTTTGATTGTCCATGACTTACTTCTAGGGAATGAGCATATGACCCAATTCAACCCCTACTGACATTGACCCGTGTAGCCAGGAATCTGCTCTCCAAGAGCCTAGAGCAGCAGTTCTAGTCAACAGCTAAGGATGGGATTTTAAAAGTACCATGTTCATTTGGAAAGGTGGGCAATTTAGGTAGGCAGAATGTAGCTAGCCCTCCTTTTCTGGAGCAATGTCAGCTTGGCTAACATTCAGACTAGTGCTCCAATTACCACAGTATCGTTAATGACAAGTCAGGAGCGTTAGGTGCATGTAAAGAGCTGTTTGCAGTGCCCAGCAACTCTTATTGGTCCTACAAAACCTCTGAATAATGTTGCATATCCTTGAATGCCATCTACTGGCAAATCTTCTATTGGCATGCATACAGACATCTCTTTTGTACCGTAGTCTTGCCACAAGCAGCACCTCTATTTTATGCCTTACCTAAAATATGTCCCCTTCCACACAACAGTGCCCTGGTAGGACGCTGCTTTGCGGGAGCTTCTTAATTATCTACCACATTCTGGGTTTTTCTTACAGGTTTCCTAGCCAAGAGCTATCTGGGCTCATGGCTGCTTTGTTTATAAAATCTGATAGAGGAGATGGCACTTTGGCTCCAGGTGCAGAGTGAAGTAAACACACAGAAATGCAGCCTTCTTTCCTGGCCCCCCTCCTGCCGGCTCCCCCCCTAATGATATGTTTTTAAAGATTCAGGCAGTGAGTCTGACAGTTTAAGAGACCATCAGAAAATGCAGGCAGGCACTAGTCCCAGAAAAGCCTCTTGCAAATGGGAAGGATCCGTGAGGCCTAAGGAGAGAGATGAAAGGAAGAGGGGAAGGTTGGATTAGATTGGAAAAGGCAAGTTAGATTTGAGGGGGAAGCCTTGTCTCTCCTCAGTGTTCCTACCTGCAGCAAATTGGCTGGTGCTACTTCTTTATTTCAGTTGCTGGATCAAGTTCCTCTTGCAGATGAAGACCGGATAACATTCCAAGCCTATTGTAATGCTGTGTGCTGGCTGTCGAAGAGCCCTCTGGAAACCAGACTTAAAGGTAACACAAAGATGTTTTGGTTCCTTCAATAACACATCTGCACCTAGTGTTATCTGACTTCACAGCACCGTAACGCCAATACCCTTGATAGAAACCTATGTTTCCTACCCACAGGTAGGAGCAATTTCGTATTCACATCACATTATTATACTCGCTCGGCAGGTTTTCTGAAAAATTGAGCTGCACCCAATTCTCAGAATCCTCCTCCCCACCTCTGTTTTGGGTCAGATCCTCAACTGGTACAGATCAGCATAGCTCCATTGAAGTTAACGGAGCTCTAGCAGTTGACACCAGCTGTGGGTCTGGCCCTATTCCTTTGTTTATAATTGATCTGGTCCCTGCTGCTTTATTCCTAACCCTATATCACACTCCGATGTGCATGACCTCATGGTTAGTTTAATAGCCACCAAGTATTTTTAAAGGGATTTTTTGTAGTTAAAAAAATATAAAGGGTGGAATTGTTAGGTCAGTTCCTCATGGGGGCGAGGGGGGATCCGCTTCAGTGACTTGACTCAGCTCCTTTGCTGGGATAGATTAGTGTAACTCCAGACACTTATTTCAAAGAAGGATGGCTTTCTAAGACATTCCAAACAAAATGTCCAAAAACAAGTTCCATCAGAAAAGTAACTTTTGTTCACAGTGGAGCGTCTTCCTGGTTGACTTTTACTGTTGCTTCAAGTGGGGCCTTGCAAAGTTTTGTTATGCTGCAGATCTGGCCCAACTGGCTCGCAGCAAGGGATCAGCACCTGTTTAGACACCCAGATGACATGGCAGACTTTCAAGAGTGCTCAGAAGCCAGCACTTCCCTTTGTTCTCAGTGGGGCTGAGGGAGTGGGGGGAAGGATATTCTGCATTGTTCTAGATGGGAAGTGCGGGTGGCTGAGCACTCTGGAAAATCTGACCCCCCGCTGCAGAGTCCTTTCTGCTGAGGGTGAGTCCCAGCATGCACTCTGCTCTGAAGGCCAGTTTACCAATTTGCCCTGCTATTGTCTCGGTGCAATTTGAATTCTGTCGGGGATGTGAGAACCGAGACTGGCATAATATGAATCCTGGGAAGGCCTGTCCCTGCCCTGTCCACGGCTGAAGGTGAAGCGTCTGGTGGGATAGGAGCTAGCACGGAGGGAGCACTAGCATGGCGGGGGTTACGTTGATGCCAGGCATGAGCAGTAGAAGACCCCAAGAGTTAAATTCTGGTAGCTAAGAGCTGGATGGAAACTTGCTCTCAGTCTGAGGCTGTTATCCTTTCTGAGGGATTGCAATGCTGCTTCCCCCACCCACTGCTGCCAGCGAAGCACTGAAGACTCCTGCTGGGTGCACTTGCTGTTTAATGAGTCATGTGCTGAATTTACCGGTGGGGGTTGGGAGCCTGACATTTTTTTAAGAACCGCTTGAATTCCTTTTATGCTATGCATAATTTTATAATTATATAAGAGACGCAGCAAGGAAAGCCGTATGGCTTCCTGCCTGGTCCCCTCCAGTCCTGGGACAGGTAAGACTTTTCTGCACTGTGGGCCAAGTTTCGGCCATGTCTGTTTTTTATGGCTATCCTGGTGAGAATGGGTTTTTATTGCAATAAGGCCTAGCACTGCAGATCAAGTCAGTGAGGCCATAGGCACATTTAGCAAAGGTGAGGGCATGTTGCCTCAGCTGGGACTACAGCTTCCTGGTCCAGTGATAAGCATTGTGACAACCTGGAAAGCGGAATGGCAGGGTGACTCAAGTAAATCACTCCTCACACAGCTACTGTTGGGGATCAGTTCCTTTCCCATTAACTACTAAATAAAGGCCTTTGCCAGATGAGGTGTGCTGAGGATAAATCATGCCCTCCAGCATTACTGGGGACAGTGGAAGATAGGCAGAAAATTCTGACTTTGAGTCTGTCCAGTTTCTGCAGCAGCGTCCCGTCAGAGCAGTGGTTCTCAACCCATGACCCAATCAGCACACAGCTGCGGCCCATGTGACATCCTCAGGTCCATACAGGTAGAATATATATTGTGTGGTTGTGGCCCACATAACACATAGAGCGCTGCGTCTGCAACCCACAATGATAAATAGGTAGAGAATCGCTGAGTCCGAGTTACAACCCTTGCAGAGGGTGCTGGCAAGGTGGGTTAAAATAGGCCCCAGAGGGCGGAGGCCTACAGCATTCTTGGAAAGATCCAGTCAAAGACGGCAGACTTTGCCTCTGGACGTGTGTGGGGCGGCTAAGCTGGCATCAGAGCTATCTGGCAGTCGCACATGAGCAGGGCCCTGCAATACTGGAGCAGCAAGGGAGTCGGAGCCACCAGCAGCAGGGCTTGAGGCTCCACGCAAGATCATGCTGAGGTTCAACATCCCTTTGTACAGTGTCACCCCCTCTGGCTTAGCACGACAACACACTCGGTGGGTTATCTGCAGCAAGGATTGAACCTGTAACTTCTACATGAGCTTCTGGCTAAGCAAAAATGACCCCGCGCCATTAGCCAAAGCTAAAGCCGGCCCAGGCACCGATAGAGGGGGACCCAGCACCACATGGAGTCGGTTACAATGCCACAGACTCTGGTCCATGTCCACCTCCACCCCCCTTATTTTTGGGTGGGAAGGGGAGATTCCCCTCGGGCTCATCAGCCCCACCCCTTCCATATAGACTGGCCTGTGACAGCTTGTATGAGGCCTGTTTTCCTCCCCTGCTCCTGTACAGTTGTGGCCCTTAGTAAGAGGGTTAGAAGGACAGTGCCACCTTAGCCAAATAGTTGGTCTCGTTTGTCAAACAGGCCAACCTGGCGTTGAAGTTGACTAGGGGGTTGCCCCACCCTTAGGAGCTTAAAACCCCAGAAGGGAAATTTGAATTGTGCGTGGGGAACCTTCTTTCTAGCTGAGCTGTGGGTGGAGATCCAATGATGGCCATGGGGCTGTGTGAGTCCTACCGCACTGATGTCATCTAAGAAGGAAAATATTCTCCAGAAACCTACATCATTATTTGAAAGGTATTGGAATCAGAAAAATAAAATATCAGCTATCATGGAGTCGAGGTGCGTACTGCATTGTGGCTATTGCCAGACAGCTGGGTCATCAGGGCCGTTAGCAAAATGCCATAAAGGAAACCAATCAAAAAAGCTGCCTGGAGGCTTGAAGCAGTTCTTACTATATTCCCAGCTGAGTACATCAAAATGGAAACTGAAGAGACCATGTAAATGCTGTCTGTTTTAAATGCCTGTCTTCTATTAGTCTGGGGGGGTTGGTTTGAACTAAGCTATTTGTCACAGTTCAAGGCATCTGCACTGGCATGGTTCCTTGAGGGCATCTACTCTAGGCTCCCAGCTCCTCAGAGGTCCCAGATATTTATTCTTAAAGAGACTTGCTGATAAGGTGAAAGCATTAGGGAGAGAACCGGTTTTTGACAGTTCCTATACGCATGCTAAAAAGCTTACTCAAGGTCCACTCTCAGTTGTGTGGGGGTCTAAATTCCATCCACCACTTCCCAGGAAGGCTTGAGGACTCCCTGGGACAGAAGGCTCTGGCAATTTGGTTGGTCAGAAAGAAGGCCCTGAGTCCATTTAAACTCAGGCTATTTATCCAAAAATCCTTTCTTTGCCTGGTGGTCTCCGGGGCGTCCACTTTGAGTCAGTACATGCAAGCTACTCCAGGAGGGGGCATGTTTCTGAAGATGAAACAACTGAGTGAATTTGCCTATTCACCCTCTCTGCTCTTAGTTCCTGGGGGAACTGTGGCCACATACATGCAATCCCTGGCACCCACGAATACATAAACGTGTACAGTAAGATATTACAGGAAATGTTCCTGTCTGGCTGAATTTTTGAATGAGAAGGCTGGTGAAGTTCAGTAACAGAAGGACTCTAGAATACAAGCAATGATTTACTTAGAGAGAGTAACTATAAAATAGCTGCTTAGCATTGTAGAAAACAAAATTGATCACGTTAACCTGTCGATTGTTGCCACATTTCTCTGTAACTCCTTTCTCTGGAGGTGTGACCTGCTCCATTCTTCCCAGTGAGCTCAGATGCTCCATGACAAGTTAAAAAAGTCAGCATTAACTATTTCACTGCTGATCCAAGCATGGAATAGTGAGGGTCCGTATTACGAAGAACTGCACAGTGTACTGCGAACGGTGTCTCACTTTGTCTCAAGTAGGTGGACACTCTTTGTGGACAGGGCTTGGCAGAGTACTCTCTTTTCCCTCTCTCTCCCCAATTCCATCTCCAGCGACAGGGGTGTGGCACAGTCACTTCCAGCAGGAGTGACTTGACATTGGAGATGTCAGCTGGCAGCCAGGATTATGTAGCTAATTTAGGATGACCAAATATGGCTCATATTTGGCAAATATACCAGTGTCATGCAAGTTGCCTATCTCTAGCAACAAATGTAATCACGTGAGGATCACTAGGCCAAACTGAGCTCAGGTATAGGACGACACGACTCCCTTTGAAGACAGTGTCAGTTCTGCTCACTTACCCTTGTGCTAAATTTGCCCCACAGTGTCCACCAAAGCACTCCCAACCCTTGGAAAGCAGCAGCTCAATGTGGCTCACCAGGAGAACTCCTTTAAGCCCTGTGGAGTGACATGACTTCTCTTTAGCTTCTGCAGCTGCCGTTTTCTCCCTCTGCTCCGCAGCAGGCGATTGCGAAACGGCCGGGAAGTGGAGTGCTAGAGCGGGCACTGCAGAAGACGTGTCCAGTTCTGACTGAGTTGCTCTGGTCACGCTGTCTGAAGTGGCTCACAGCAGTGAGTGGCAATCTCGGGCAGACTGTCAAGAAGCAGGGCAGAGACCCCAAAGGGGTTATGTGTTCTGTAATTAGATTTCACCGACCCAGTATCCATGTGTGAACTCCTAAAGCATTACAACAGTCTTACCATAAAATCACAGGCAGGCCCCTTGGGCATTCCAGTCTTTCTTGCCAGCCAGGCAAGCTGGAATTAGTGATAGATGGTCCCTTACACCAAAAATCACAACAATGTTCAGGTTACTCCCACTGCCAGAGGACCAGTCACTTACTCCGGG